CATAGATCTTGTCAAGTGGATCTAGACAATAAAACATGCACTTGCCGTGGGTGGGATGTAACCCGTGTTCCTTGCAAACATGCATGTGCATCCATTATGTTCATGAAAAGGGATGTCTACCAGTTCTGTGACTGGTTTATGACGGTTGAAGCCTTTAAAAAAAGCTAGGTATAAATTAGAACTAACTTGGTATAAATTAGAACTAACTTGGTATAAAATGAGAACAAACTTGGTATAAAATAGAACTAACTTTGTATAAATTAGATCTAACATTGTATAAAATAGAACTAACTTGGTATAAATTAGATCTAACGTGGTATAAATTAGGTTTATAACGTAGTAAAAAATAGATCTAACTTGGTATAAATTAGATCTAACGTGGTATAAATTAGGTTTATAACGTGGTATAAATTAGGTTTATAACGTGGTATAAATTAGGTTTATAACGTGATGTAAAATAGAACTAACTTGGTATAAATTAGTAAATTAGATCTAACGTGGTATAAATGAGATATAACGTGGTATAAATTAGGTTTATAACTTGGCATAAAATAGAACTAACATAAATTAGATATATAACGTGGTATAAATTAGATATAACGTGTAATAAAATAGAACTAACAAGCCATCACACGCTACAGACTTGAACTAACACTGTGCAGATTAGAACTAACACTTTACAGAATAGAACTAACACTGTGCAGATTAGAACTAACACTCTACAGAATAGAACTAACACTCTACAGAATAGAACTAACACTGTGCAGATTAGAACTAACACTCTACAGAATAGAACTAACACTCTACAGACTAGAACTAACACTCTACAGAATAGAACTAACACTGTGCAGATTAGAACTAACACTCTACAGAATAGAACTAACACTGTGCAGATTAGAACTAACACTCTACAGAATAGAACTAACACTGTGCAGATTAGAACTAACACTCTACAGAATAGAACTAACACTGTGCAGATTAGAACTAACACTCTACAGAATAGAACTAACACTGTGCAGATTAGAACTAACACTCTACAGAATAGAACTAACACTGTGCAGATTAGAACTAACACTCTACAGAATAGAACTAACACTGTGCAGATTAGAACTAACACTCTACAGAACAGAAATAACTTGGTATAAATTAGAACTAACTTGGTATAAAATGAGAACAAACTTGGTATAAAATAGAACTAACTTTGTATAAATTAGATCTAACATTGTATAAAATAGAACTAACTTGGTATAAATTAGGTTTATAACGTTGTAAAAAATAGAACTATCTTGGTATAAATTAGAGCTAACGTGGTATAAATTAGATATAACGTGGTATAAATTAGGTTTATAACGTGATATAAAATAGAACTAACTTGGTATAAATTAGAAATAACTTGGTATAAAATGAGATATAACGTGGTATAAATTAGGTTTATAACTTGGTATAAAATAAAACTAACACAAATTAGATATAACGTGGTATAAATTAGATATAACGTGTAATAAAATAGAACTAACAAGCCATCACAAGCTACAGATTAGAACGAACACTGTGCAGAATAGAACTAACACTCTACAGAATAGAACTAACACTGTGCAGATTAGAACTAACACTCTACAGAACAGAACTAACACTGTGCAGATTAGAACTAACACTCTACAGAATAGAACTAACACTGTGCAGATTAGAACTAACACTCTACAGAACAGAAATAACTTGGTATAAATTAGAACTAACTTGGTATAAATTAGAACTAACTTGGTATAAATTAGAACTAACTTGGTATAAATTAGAACTAACTTGGTATAAAATGAGAACAAACTTGGTATAAAATAGAACTAACTTTGTATAAATTAGATCTAACATTGTATAAAATAGAACTAACTTGGTATAAATTAGAAATAACTTGGTATAAAATGAGATATAACGTGGTATAAATTAGGTTTATAACGTGGTATAAATTAGGTTTATAACGTGGTATAAATTAGGTTTATAACGTGGTATAAATTAGGTTTATAACGTGGTATAAATTAGGTTTATAACGTGGTATAAAATAGAACTAACTTGGTATAAATTAGAAATAACTTGGTATAAAATGAGATATAACGTGGTATAAATTAGGTTTATAACTTGGCATAAAATAGAACTAACATAAATTAGATATATAACGTGGTATAAATTAGATATAACGTGTAATAAAATAGAACTAACAAGCCATCACACGCTACAGACTTGAACTAACACTGTGCAGAATAGAACTAACACTGTGCAGATTAGAACTAACACTCTACAGAACAGAACTAACACTGTGCAGAATAGAACTAACACTCTACAGATTAGAACTAACACTTTACAGAACAGAAATAACTTGGTATAAATTAGAACTAACTTGGTATAAATTAGAACTAACTTGGTATAAAATGAGAACAAACTTGGTATAAAATAGAACTAACTTTGTATAAATTAGATCTAACATTGTATAAAATAGAACTAACTTGGTATAAATTAGGTTTATAACGTTGTAAAAAATAGAACTATCTTGGTATAAATTAGAGCTAACGTGGTATAAATTAGATATAACGTGGTATAAATTAGGTTTATAACGTGGTATAAATTAGGTTTATAACGTGGTATAAATTAGGTTTATAACGTGGTATAAATTAGGTTTATAACGTGGTATAAATTAGGTTTATAACGTGGTATAAATTAGGTTTATAACGTGATATAAAATAGAACTAACTTGGTATAAATTAGTAAATTAGATCTAACGTGGTATAAATGAGATATAACGTGGTATAAATTAGGTTTATAACTTGGCATAAAATAGAACTAACATAAATTAGATATATAACGTGGTATAAATTAGATATAACGTGTAATAAAATAGAACTAACAAGCCATCACACGCTACAGACTTGAACTAACACTGTGCAGAATAGAACTAACACTCTACAGATTAGAACTAACACTTTACAGAACAGAAATAACTTGGTATAAATTAGAACTAACTTGGTATAAATTAGAACTAACTTGGTATAAATTAGAACTAACTTGGTATAAATTAGAACTAACTTGGTATAAATTAGAACTAACTTGGTATAAAATGAGAACAAACTTGGTATAAAATAGAACTAACTTTGTATAAATTAGATCTAACATTGTATAAAATAGAACTAACTTGGTATAAATTAGGTTTATAACGTTGTAAAAAATAGAACTATCTTGGTATAAATTAGAGCTAACGTGGTATAAATTAGATATAACGTGGTATAAATTAGGTTTATAACGTGATATAAAATAGAACTAACACAAATTAGATATAACGTGGTATAAATTAGATCTAACGTGGTATAAATTAGGTTTATAACGTAGTAAAAAATAGAACTAACTTGGTATAAATTAGATCTAACGTGGTATAAATTAGGTTTATAACGTGGTATAAAATAGAACTAACTTGGTATAAATTAGAAATAACTTGGTATAAAATGAGATATAACGTGGTATAAATTAGGTTTATAACTTGGCATAAAATAGAACTAACATAAATTAGATATATAACGTGGTATAAATTAGATATAACGTGTAATAAAATAGAACTAACAAGCCATCACAAGCTACAGATTAGAACTAACACTGTGCAGAATAGAACTAACACTCTACAGATTAGAACTAACACTGTGCAGATTAGAACTAACACTCTACAGAACAGAACTAATACTGTGCAGATTAGAACTAACACTCTACAGAACAGAACTAACACTGTGCAGATTAGAACTAACACTCTACAGAATAGAACTAATACTGTGCAGATTAGAACTAACACTCTACAGAATAGATCTAACATGTTAAAATATATAACTAAAAGGGTGCAGATTGGAACTAACACAACATTTGTAACAAACTGTTTGGTGGATAAGCAAAATTTAACAAGAAAAAACACGCAATGATGCCAGGTCTTCATTTGTTGCTGCCCTCGCTAGATCGGTTTGGGTCTAATAAACCCTTTTCGCTGTCACTCGCCTTCCTTTTCGAAGGTCCTGGCTTACTGCGCTTTGAGGAAGGAGAACTGGATCCCGCTGAGCCACTGTGGGAGACGACGGGGTTTAAAGGGAGAGGAACATTGCCGGTAGGGAGAGACCTCGGAGAATTGGCACCCCCGACCCCTTGGTTACGGAGAAACAGCTATCATTGGTCTCTCTCGACCGTCATATGAACGCCACCCCAACTAACCTCAATTAACTCGGGTTCGGCCCTAAAGGGCTACGCACGCTGGGGCCCTAAGTTGAGTCGTGTGGATCCCTGAGCCCTCTCCAAATCCCCCCCGCTTTGGACCTGCGTGATGGCGTATCCTTCCCTGGCGTTACCGTCCACCGGCGAGATGTAACGGAACCCAAGCCTCTTAGGGATTTCAGATAAATCCCTAACCTTGAGTAGAACTCTACAGTCTTTGAAGTTAGAATGTGTTATGACGTCCCTGGAGCACATGACACATTCACCGATACCAATGAGCAGAGATTGAAGAAATTCAAAATTCCAGAGGTGGTATGGGAGATTGAATAGGCGAATCCATACTAGAAAGGGTTGAGGCAACGTTGTTAGCCTCAGATCCTCTTTCCAACGGCGTAATCTGCCCTTAAATGTGACCATATCTATCAAACCGAGTTCAATAGCTTGGGCAAGAACTTCATCGGATGGAAACTGCACCATGAAGCTGTTCCCTACCGCCTCCTTGATTTGATGGGGCCATGTCCTAAGATTGAAGCGGTAGGCCAGCATCTCTCGGAGCTCCTGCACCGATGGACGGCCTCTATCAAGATTGAAGATGGCGAAAGAAGAAAGATGCCGTATGGTGCTGGAGGTGTTGGCCGGGACGATAAGCATCCTCGGAGGGGCACTTGCGGTAATTCCATGATGACAATCTCGAGAGCTGTGTCTTGTCCCATGGCAGTGTACACAAGAAGGATCCCCAGCCATTTGTGAGGGTATACGATGAAAATAGATGACGCTGGGTTTTGGTTTTTAGCAGGGGGAGGGGTTTGCAGAGGCGCCTACGGTGGGGCCAGTAGATGAAAGGTGGTGACCGTACCTATCGATGGAAGTTCGTATTAGGTATTTAAGTTAATTAATTTATTTAACTGACTTGGGAACACGCGAATATATGATGTGATATGTTACTGTGATGGAACCATCGCTTCGAAAGAAGTGAGCAGCTGGAGGTCTGAAGATATCTTAAATAATTAAAAAATTAGAACTGGCTCTGAGATAGAACTAACGAGCATGGTATAGAATAGAACTAACGTTGAATGAGTTAGAACTAACGAGCATCAGTAGAACGAACATGGTACAGATAGAACAATACATCTGATAACAATCATTTTCAATTACTTAAATATACATATATTATTGTATTTGTATGAACATATCATTCATCACTGTACACTGTTTCTTCTTTATGTCTTTGTTCAAAACCAGCCAGTAATAATTGTGCGGCAAGTCTTGCTCGCATAGCTTCAGGGATATCGTTCGGAGGATTAACCAGCAATGTTGATCGTCCTTCAATTATGGATTTTACAAAGAGGTAGACGAACACACCACAGTCAAAGCTGCAACATAGAGTGAGTTCATTAGACATTTTCGGTCCGTTCGAATACTATAACACAAATTTGAACAATATAGACATCGGAACTAACCGTCCTCTTTGTTGCTCGCATTTGATGGCTTGATATCTAAATATTTGGCGCACATTGTCTTCAATAAAATCAGCATGATGGGCATCAAAGAATTTTATGATTTTATTAACAGGCTCCATCCAAGCTTCGTGCCCAGCGGAGCTGTAATGCTTGACGACTTTATCTTTAAGGTCAACTTCTACAAGATGCCAATGGTCGTCCCTGACCAAAGGGATCAAGAGATGCTCTATGCGGTATGCGGTATATTTGTCAATGAAGTTCAGATAATGCTCGTAATTGTTCACCTCCAAGCCATAGAGTGAGTGCTGCAAACACATCATGTTTGAGTTGAAATTAAAACAAACATGAGCTGCGAAGGCTAACTAACACCGTATTAATTAGAACTAACACGCTACAGAATAGAACTAACACTGTGCAGAATAGAACTAACACGCTACATAATAGAACTAACGTTCTACAGAATAGAACTAACACTGTACAGACTAGAACTAACACTGTGCAGATTAGAACTAACACTGTGCAGAACAGAACTAACACTCTACAGAATAGAACTAACACTGTGCAGATTAGAACTAACACTCTACAGAATAGAACTAACACTCTAAAGAACGGAACTAACATGACTTATGGTAGGTCTAATTTGATGCTAACTAGAACTAACGTGACTCATGGTATAACTAGCATGGATTACACAAGATCTAACATGAATTTCAATCAAAACTAACGTGGTGAAATTAGGAATAGCATGTTCTTACAAGAAAGAACACCGATACCACTCCATATCCTTTGCCGTATGCCTCCTGGCTAATCGTGTCCAAAACTGCTTCTTCCACCTGTAATTGTTATGAAACATTAAAATTCAATTTAAACAATATAATTTGAATTATTAAGGAAGTATATGTTAACCTTGTCGTCAAGGCGGCCACCACGAAGCACATATAACAACTCTTCCCTGTTAATAGTGCTGTTGGTTGTTACTATAACATTATATCTCCTGGTATAAATTAGAACTAACATGAATTAGAACTAATATGTGGAGAATTAGCATATAAATAGTCAACTGAAACTTACTTGTGAATCTTCTGAGAACAAAATTTGGTTAGGCTATCAATTTCAGCTTTGTCGAGTCTTTCTGCTACGGGAGATGGTATCTTTAAATTATGTACAAAAGCACCTGTGCTATCTATTATGCGTAAGTTAAACAATGTAGGGTCTGGAAGCTCATTATTCAGCTCTCCCAATAGAGCTTCCTCTTCATCTGTCATTGGCTTGAAACTCAACGCATCAAAAGTGGGGATTTGAATACCGGGATAAAAATGAGTAACTTTTTCAGCTAGTTTTACTTTTGGTTCAGGACTTTCAAGTATATCTATACTAATTTTTTCCTTTTTCTTTCTTTTGCCTTCAGTATATGGTGTCCTCTTGAATTTAGATCTCTTGCTTACCCTTTTTGCCTTTGGTCTACGCTTTGCTTTCACATTGCTCGTTAGAACATCTACAAGTTTGTCCACATTATGTTCAATATTCACAAGATCCTCTTCCTCCTGTGCTTCCAACTTATCTACATTCTCCTTGCCTTTATCTACAATATCTTCCTCCTTATCTACACCATCAACAGTATCCTCATCAAAACCTTTGTTATCTACAATAAAATTTTCATTTTCCATATGCTCCTCTTCCTTATCTACCATATGCTCCTCTTCCATATCTACAATATGTTCCATATGCTCCTCTTCCATATCTACAATATGTTCCATATGCTCCTCTTCCATATCTACAATATGTTCCATATGCTCCTCTTCCATATCTACAATATGTTCCATATGCTCCTCTTCCATATCTACAATATGTTTCTGCACAGTGTTAGTTCCGTTCTGTAGAGTGTTAGTTCTAATCTGCACAGTGTTAGTTCTGTTCTGTAGAGTGTTAGTTCTAATCTGCACAGTGTTAGTTCTGTTCTGTAGAGTGTTAGTTCTAATCTGCACAGTGTTAGTTCTGTTCTGTAGAGTGTTAGTTCTAATCTGCACAGTGTTAGTTCTGTTCTGTAGAGTGTTAGTTCTAATCTGCACAGTGTTAGTTCTGTTCTGTAGAGTGTTAGTTCTAATCTGCACAGTGTTAGTTCTGTTCTGTAGAGTGTTAGTTCTAATCTGCACAGTGTTAGTTCTGTTCTGTAGAGTGTTAGTTCTAATCTGCACAGTGTTAGTTCTGTTCTGTAGAGTGTTAGTTCTAATCTGCACAGTGTTAGTTCTGTTCTGTAGAGTGTTAGTTCTAATCTGCACAGTGTTAGTTCTGTTCTGTAGAGTGTTAGTTCTAATCTGCACAGTGTTAGTTCTATTCTGTAGAGTGTTAGTTCTATTCTGCACAGTGTTAGTTCCGTTCTGTAGAGTGTTAGTTCTAATCTGCACAGTGTTAGTTCCGTTCTGTAGAGTGTTAGTTCTAATCTGCACAGTGTTAGTTCTATTCTGTAGAGTGTTAGTTCTAATCTGCACAGTGTTAGTTCTATTCTGTAGAGTGTTAGTTCTAATCTGCACAGTGTTAGTTCTATTCTGTAGAGTGTTAGTTCTAATCTGCACAGTGTTAGTTCTATTCTGTAGAGTGTTAGTTCTAATCTGCACAGTGTTAGTTCTATTCTGTAGAGTGTTAGTTCTAATCTGCACAGTGTTAGTTCTATTCTGTAGAGTGTTAGTTCTATTCTGCAGCGTGTTAGTTCTAATCTGTCTGTAGCGTGTGAGTTCTAATCTGCAGATTAGAACTAACACTCTACAGAACGGAACTAACACTGTGCAGATTAGAACTAACACTCTACAGAATAGAACTAACACTGTGTTAGTTCTATTCTGTAGAGTGTTAGTTCTAATCTGCACAGTGTTAGTTCTATTCTGTAGAGTGTTAGTTCTAATCTGTCTGTAGAGTGTTAGTTCTAATCTGTAGCGTGTGAGTTCTAATCTGCAGATTAGAACTAACACTCTACAGAACGGAACTAACACTGTACAGATTAGAACTAACACGCTACAGAATAGAACTAACATAGAATAAGTTAGAACTAACAATGCATAGGTACGAACAAGAATGAAACAAGATCAGTAAAATATGAAACTTACACACAATAGTGTCATGCAACCTGGGACATATGCGACCTTTTGCTTCTTCTTTCCCTCCAAAGCAACTCCAATGCCCCTGATAATTTCATTATAAAAGAACGGGGCCCATGCAACAGAATTGACCCTCTGAATGCTATCCAGGTACCTGAGTAAGGGTCTAGGGATACCTTCCCCTGCTATGGGACTCCATATCATAGAGCATTGGTACAAAATTTGTAGCAGAGCAAAATCCTCGATATCCCGCTTTTTGGTAGATTCAACAAGCCGTTCAAGTAGCCCTTCAAGATGTTTACGTTGGCTGGTTTCTGATTTTTTTAACTTCTTACCCTCTTCAGAAATGAAAAGCTTAGCGAAGTATTCCAGCCATATTCTGCTTCTTGAGTCCCTATTGTTCCTTATGTCCTCCCCATAAATTGGGAAATAAGTATGGTTGTGGACCCATTGCAAATCAAAACTAACATTTTTCATACCCCCACTTTTTGAATCAGGTATACAAAAGGTGTTATTATCTCTATCGAAAAAGCTCAGCAGCAGCTCAAGGGTGGGCCGATCAGGCGCAGGAGCCCCAAACAAAATGTAGTGCTGAAATATAGAACCGCAGTATGCATCCCTATGCCACTGACGGATCTTCGGGGCAAGGCGCTTCATAAATGCCCAATAAGCCCCGATATTGGCCGTTAACCTTAGTGTTTCTGCTGAGCCTGTTAGAGCAATTTTTTCCCTGCAAAAAATTTTCGAATTTGTAAGTTCAATAAGACATATGAAACAATATTAGACCTAGCACTAACGGGAACAAAATAGAGCTAACACGTAATATTATAGAACTAACATTGGACTCATATTAGAACTAACATTGGACTTAAACTAGATCTAACGTTGGTATAAATTTAGAACTAACATTGGACAAAGCCTAGAACTAACAATATTGGGTTAATCTGCATTGTCTGTTCGCAGTATAACATAATACTTACTTTTTTTTTTGAGGGGGATTCGTTGGTACGACCAGCCATTGTCGTCCTCCTTTTCTGGTCTCGCCATTGTAATGCCTCCTTTTGCATTTCGATTAGGGTTTTCGTAGCTTCCGTAGCTTCCTCCGTGCTGCCACCCGCAGATGAAGCGCCTTTTCCTTCCAACTCGACTCGGTGCCCGACCTCGTAGTCGTTACTGGATTCTTCCGTAGATGACATTTTTCCGGCGAAAACCCTAGAAACGTTGAAATCCGTACAGAAATTAGGAAGATGAAGAGTTTTTGATGGCGGTGCTAGGTGGAAGAGAGAGAAAGAGAGGGAGAGTACTTGTAAAGGTGAGGGGCACATTAACCCAGTTCAGTCCCATCAGAGGGCAAGATCGTAACTTCCTCTGGCTTTTTCTGAAAAAAAAGTCAATTCAGGGCCTCGTCGCAAATACTATGCGTATTTGGGGCTATTCCACATGGGGCAAAGTACAGGGGGGCTAGTCACACGAAGTTCCCACTTTTGGGGCCTGGACACATTTTTCCCCAGAAATTAAATAAAATGAGAAGATATACGAATATAAATATAACAGTGACGAATAACATTGATAAACATGTACTGTCCATGTGATACAAAAGTAATTCAAAAAAGTCTCAAATGAGAGTCCATTAATTATTCACCATATCTAAAAAAAAATGCTAGGATTAGATTACCGAATTACTAAACTTGATGTTAGATCTACTAATTAAGGCCCAAAATAATTTAAACTCTCTAATACACATCAGATATTTGGATATTTGTTGTAAAACTAATAAAGTAGAGTAGAGAAAGTAGACAAGAAGTAGAAAGAATTTTATTTCCTCAATTTCTCCTTACAAAGTGAGGTAGGAATACCTCTATTTATATACAAATTAAGATAATGATACATGAATCATATTAATTACTCATAGAGAATATCAAGGGGTAATAAATGTATCAATATCTTTGAGAAACTAAATGGACATCCACATAATTTAATTGTTTCATAACACTCCCCCTTGGATGTCCAACATTACACAAAGAATATGTCTCGTTAAAACCTTACTAGGAAAAAACCTAGTGGGAAAAAATCCTAGTGAAGGAAAAAGAGTACATTATTCTTATGTATTAGTTTCTCCCCCTGATTCAAATATCATTTGAGATCTTTCAACCGATGCATTCTAATATTTTTTACCAATTTCTCAAAAGTTACAGTCGACAATGCCTTGGTGAATAAATCTACCAGATTATCACTCGATCAAATTTGCTGCACAAAGATTTCACCATTCTTTTGCAAATCATGTGTAAAGAAGAATTTTGGTGAAATGTGTTTCGTTCTATCTCCTTTAATATATCCTCCTTTTAATTGAGCTATACAAGCTGCATTGTCTTCAAACAAAATAATCAGAGGATTTTTATTTTCAGGAGAAAATCCACTATTCTTCCGAATATAGTGGATCATTGATCTTAGCCAAATACATTCCTGACTGGCTTCATGAATAGCTATTATTTCAGCATAATTTGAAGAAGTGGCAACAATTGTTTGCTTCGTAGATCGCCATGAAATAGCGGTATCACCACATATAAATAAATAACCAGTTTGAGACCTTGCTTTATGGGGATCAGATAAATACCCAGTATCAGCATATCTAAGCAATTCAGGTCGAGAATTATAAGAATAAAATAATCCAATATCAATTGTTCCTTGGAGATAGCAAAAAATATGCTTTATACCGTTCTAATGTCGTTTTATAGGAGATGAACTAAATCTTGCTAATAAATTCACAGAAAATGATATATCTGATCTTATACAATTAGCAAGATACATTAGTGTACTTATTACACTGAGATATGATACTTTAGGACCAATAATCTCTTCATCTTCCTCTTTTGGTCTAAAATGATCTTTAGCAGGATCAAGTGACCTGACGATCATTGGGGTACTTAATGGATGTGTTTTATCCATGTAGAACCGCTTTACTACCTTCTGGGTATAAGCAGTTTGGTGAACAAAAATCGTATTTTCCAAATGCTCAATTTGTAAACCAAGGCAAAATTTGGTTTCCCCAAAATCTTTGATCTTAAATTCTTTCTTCAAATATTCAATCTCCTTTTATAGCTCTTCAGGGGTTCCAATCAAATTAAGGTCATCAACATATACAATAATGATCATAAAATTTGACTCATTCCTTTTTATGAAAACACATGGACATATAAGATGATTTGTATAACCTTCTTTGACTAAACATTCACTAAGGCGGTTATACCATATTCATCCAGATTGCTTGAGTCCATACAAAGATCTTTACAACTTAATGGAGTATATTTCTCTAGGATTAGATTTACATGCTTCAGGTATGCTAAATCCTTCAGAGATTTTCATATAGATATCATTATCTAATGTTCCATATAAATAAGTAGTGACTACGTCCATCAGATGCATATCAAGTTTTTCATGTACTGCTAAATTCACAAGATATCTAAATGTAATTCCATCAATTACTGGAGAATATGTCTCATCATAATCAAATATCGGTCTTTGTGAAAATCCTTGGGCTACAAGTCTTACTTTATATCTCATGTAGGTTGTCTAAAAATCACTGCAGATAGCTGATCCCCATCAAACACCGGTGATGGAAGTTACAATTTGACGGGTTTCAGAAAACTACAATTTGAAGACTTTCATGTAGATCGATAAATGTTACAATCTGATGACCTTCACAACAACTGATGAAAGCTCTAATTAACAGCCTTCATAATCAATATCAGGAGTTATAATCTGACGACTCTCATATTTTTAAAGAGCCAAGATGAAGATTACAAGATGACGGTCTTTGTAACGCTCTAGAAAAAGAGACTATTAATTGACGGCCTCTTCAAATCCAGACGTAGAGCCCACCTCTACGTCCCAGAAGCAAAACGCAAAGCTCGTAGCTGTGTTCCAGAACGAGATGCAAAGATCAAGAGCTGCATTCCAACTTCAAAACGAAAGGGCCAGCCTTGTAGTCCAGATTTAAAATGCAGCGCGACCTGTGCGTTCTCAGCCACCAACGCAGGTCCCAACTCTACGTTTCAGTCCCAGAACGTAGTGTCCGTGCCCAGAATGCAGATTTTGTGTTTGACTCGTTCAAATATGAGTTAAACGGTTCTCAAACCATTCTCCCATGATTTTAGGGGGATTACACCCCTTAAACCACTTGAACGGTTTCAAAATCATTCTATATGAAATGGGGTCGGTTACACCCCATTAAGGAGAGATTTTAGGAGGCGGTTACACCCCTAAAAACCCTATAAATGGAGAAAAAACTCAGCTGAGTAAGGGGATCTTCAATCTAGAATTTTGGGGAACTTGGAACATTTTCGAATCTAGAGATCAGCAAAGGAGATCTCCAATTTATCCTCTTTTCGGCATCAAAGAAGAGATCTTTTGGAGCAGATCAAATCTTTGGATCTTCAGATCGATCTTTTGGAGGAACTCTTGGATCATCTTGGAAGGCTTTGATTGAAGCTTTTGAGATTACTCAGCTTGGCTTTTGAACTCTTTCTAAGAATTTTTCTCAACTCGATCAGAGTTCAAAACTTACTCTGCAAGTTCTTCTAAACTCGTCAAGAGTTTCAACTTGCTTTGCAAGTTCGTCCAAGACGTCAAGTCAAGAGGTGAAGACAACGTTCCAGTGAGGTGTTCGGATCGTCAACGAGAAGCAAACTCGATACTAACGTCGAGGGAGGCATCTTATCACTACCGTGAAGAACCCGATTTTAAACAAGGGAGGATCTTCATCGATCTTCTTCTCTTTTGTAAATCGGGAATCCGATATAAGAAGTGTAACTTCTTTTTCTAAGTTAACTAGAGAGAAATTATATTGAGAACATTGTAATCATTCTTTATCTAAATCAGTTATAGAAAATAAATATTTCTGTTCTTAATTTTCTTCTTCGAATTTTCCCACCAAACATCTCATAATTTTATTTTTTTCATTTCTTTTCCTCATAAATATCCATTTATATCCTACTGGCTTTACACCTTTAGGTGTTTGGATTACAGATCCAAAAACTTTTTGTTTAGCTAGTGAATCTAATTCAGATTGGATCGCATCTTTCGATTTGACCAATCATTTCTTCACCGACATTCATCAACCGACCTGGGTTCTTGATCCTCGTCTTCTTCTATAATATCAAGTGCTATACTATATGTAAATGCATTATCGACAATTACTTCTCTTTACAAAATTTATTAAATTTTCTATAGTTTCACTCTCTTTAGGAGTTGGCTCTTCATCAGCGACCTCTTCTGGAGGTTGAATTTTGCCAATTAGAAATATTTTGATCATTGGATCCTCTTTTCTTTCGAGGATTCTTATCTTTGGAACCAAGAGGTCTACCACGCTTCAGGCGTGCTATAGATTCGTTAGCACTTTTAATTATCCTTCTGGGATATCAATTTTATTTGAGCATTTTCTGCTGGAATATACGATTTAGTAATTCTTCTAGAATCACCAAAAATATCTAGTAATTGGTTTATAATTTTTTGTAAATGTATAATCCTTTGAACTTCCAGTTCACATTCTTTTGTACGAGGATCAAGAAAGTCTAATGATATTTTCCAAGTAATTTCCTTTTTCGGTTGATCTTTACCTCCCCCTAATATCAGGAAATATGATTCATCAAAATGACAATCTGCAAATCTTACAGTAAATAAGTCACATGTTAATGGTTCAACATATTTAATTATAGAAGGTGATTCATACCCGACATATATCCCCAATCTTCTTTAAGGGCCCATTTTAGTATGTTGAGGCGGTGCAATAGGAACATATGCCGCATAACAAAAAAATTCTTAAATAAAAAATATTGGGTTCATGGCCAAGAACTAATTGTAAGGGAGAATAAGTATGATAACTTGTCGGTCTAATTATCACAAGTATTGTTGCATATAATATAGCATGTCCCCAAGCAGAT